TATCTTTATATTTTGTTTATGTTGTGGACTATAGAATGGCTACTACTCAGATGTTGATAAAATTTTTATTGAAATTTATTATCTATTTCAAGGTGTTTTTCATCATTTTTTAGTGTTTTTGGAATTAAATATATAAGAAGATGTTTCGAATTGTATGTTCGAGATTGAGTTATGGTTTTCTCGTGTTATTAGAACATTCTATTTGGGTCTATTGGATTTTTTTTATAACGTAACTCAAGATTAACAAATGTTTTTATTTTTATTTTTTGTTTTCATGCATTTCTACTCATTTTATGAGTTTTTATCATATACTAGTATCTTCAAGCATAATGTGCTTGAAGGATATCGTTCTGGAGTTTACGGGTCTGGATTCAAATCGTTGGCCAAACGTTTTAAAATTAAAGGTGGCCATATGCTGATTAAACGTTGGTACCGTCAATGGGACGGTACCGTTCAATCATTAAATCGAAAGTCAAGAAATGGTCGACCACGCACATTGTCAAAGGAAGAAGTGAAACACTATAAACTCGATTTTGTTAAAATAATGAATAGTCAATACAAATCGGTTAATTATAGAATGGTAAAATCACATGTTGAAACTTCATTAAATCGAACAGAACCATTAAGCAACATCCAAAGATATGGAAAAAAGAATGTGGCATTAAATGCAGAAAAACTCATGAATTAACATTGCGTGATAGTAAGTATGCAGTCTCATAAAAAGGGCGTGCCACTGTTTCGTCTCATTGTTTAACATCTCATCCAATCATTTTTTTTTGTACTTGCAGTTGATGATGATTATTGACATCAAATTGCTAAGTTTCGAAAATTTTTACAATGAATTGATAATGATAGACTGGTATTTCTCGATGAAATAGCCATTTATGCTATTATGCCTCCTTGTCGAACGTTTGTTGCTCCTGAATATAAACCATTAATTATTGTTGATAAATCAGCAGCTTGCGCTGAATGTTTTGACTTTATTGGTGCTATTAATGGACCACAAGTAATGCCTTATATGACTTTAACACCTACTGATCGTAAAAAGAAAGATGTCAAAGGTGTCCGAAAAGAAGTTGTAAATGAATAGATTACTAATACGTTGGCACCAGCAATTAATCGATTACGTATTAACGACATGTACTTGATATGTGATAAAAGTCGATTGCATAACATGGCAAATATGATGCGACCGTTAAAGACTGGTAAATGTAAATCAATTATAGATATCCATTACATGCCAACAGCATCAGCAAAGTACATATCACCATTAGACAATCCAATTTGGCATTCATTTAGGAAACTTGTTCGAAAACAATATCCATTCACAACAGTAGATCTTTCATCAATACTTTCACGAACTTTTTATTCATTATCAAGACAAGAAATCAGCAATGCATATCGTAAATGTGCTATTACATATGGAACTGACGTATATTATGATCAACCATCTACATAAATAAATGTTGTCCTTTATTTTAATTCAGATGAAGTATATATTGTAGTGAGAAGAAATGCCATCTTTTTTTCTGATGTATTTTTTGTTGTTTAATTTCCTTTTTTTTTTATTTGTGATTAATATACCATGCGACCCAGGAAAGTCTATACTTTCTCGCTATATATTCATTATTGGAAAAAGAGCAAACTGTAATAGTTTAAAGTAAAAAGTACATAGGGGATAAATTTTATTGAGGTGTACTGTATATGATGAAGCTACAAAATGAAAAGGCGAAATATACAATTTGTGGTGTTATTTTAAGTCTTAAAAATGGTACAACTACAGGTTTACGTAAACATTTATATATGAAATTCATAAAATCGAGTCTTTTGGAATAACTTCAAAACAATCACGTTCAAAATCTTATCGACTTCCAATTGAATAGAAAAAAAACTTGATTCATTAATAATAAAATGTGTTATTGAAGATGGTCGAAGCTTTAGTGACATGAGACAATTTGGTATACTAAACGTATTCAATCATTTAGTTCAGGGTAAGAAAAATACAACATATTTGATCATTTTCATCGTGTTTTCTGTTTAGGTTATGTGCCACCTCATTCTAATACTGTTCAGCGTCATTTAAAACAATTAGAATCTAAATATAAATTATTATTAATTAAGGAATTTTTGAATATTCATTCTTTAGGTATTGCCTGTGATTTATGAAATGATAAACATCTTCATTCGTATATATGTTTAACAGGTCACTATATATGTATCATCCAATAATCAATTTATTTCAAAAATTCTTTCGTTTACGTCGTTTCATCAACGTCATTTTTCTTCAAACATTCCAATGATTATTAAAAAAGAATTGAAGGAATTAAATATATTTGAAAAAACACATTCGATTACAACTGATGAAGCTGCTAATATGCTCAAAGTAGCTGATAAGCTTGGTGGTGATATAAAACAAATTTATTGTTAGTAATTGTATGTTATGCTGTTAATTCATATAAAAATTTATGTTTAGGTGTGGCACATCATCTTCATTTAGTGGTATGCAATGGTCTTGGACTTCGGGTTCATGCAAAACAAGATTCATCTTTACCAATTCTTGCTACAACATCAACAATTAATAAAGATGAAGTTGATTCAGATGAAGAAGATTTCTCGGATGATATTCAACTTGTTTCACAACCATCACCAATAAATAATTCATCGAATTTTATTGTATCATCAGAACAATCATTACTTATGGCAAATCAATATTTGAACATGAACAATGATGATGTTATTGTGAGTGAAATAGCAACTAATGAAGAACCAAACAATTTATCAGTCGATATTGTGGACAATTGGTCAATGGATGTTATTGAATATCTTAATCCATCTACAAGTGATTCAATACAACAACATATAGGCGATGTGATGAAAAAATGTAGATCGATCGTGAAGCTGATAAATAAATCTTCAATTTTAATGAATTATGTACTTAATCTTAAAAAATAATTCAACATTCATCGTTCTCTTCAACTTGATTGCAAGAATCGTTGGAACTAATCATATCATTTAGATGAAGCAATGTTAAAATACAAAAAAATTATAAATAAAATCACTAGTGAAAAATATGATATTGATCTTAATAAAAAACAAACAACAAAAATTTCTTCAATTGAATTAGATCAAGATGATTGGAAAATGTTAGAATTAATTGAATTTGTTTTGAAGCCTGTTGTACATGCAACAGAACTTGTAAGTGGTAGTAAATATCCTACCATTGGTATTAGTTATTTTGCCATTTTTCAAATTCGAGAATTTCTCGAAGATGTCAACGACTATAGTGTTAATGATTGGCAAATATTATATTATTTAAAATCTTTATTATTAAACCAAGTTCAAAAATATTTTATTGATAATGATGTACAATTGGAAAATATGACAGTAAAATTTTTTTAAATTTTAATATTCAATTGAAAATCAATCTCTTATATTTCAAGACGTACTCCTATTTTGATCCAATTGGTTACGGTTGTTTAACAAGAAGAAAACGACGAGCATGTGAAGTTTATATTATTGAATTAGAAGAGCAACATGCTATTGAAGAGGTCAACGATGAAGCTGATGTTAATCAAATGCAATAACAAATTAATATTCAATGAAAATCTGAAGAATCGAACTCGTCTTGTATGATCAAATTTCTTAATTCTGTTGGTAAAACATTTGTAGCTTCATCATCATCTGTTACAACATCAACTAAAAGTAAATTAATCGAAGAAATTTCTGTGTACAGATCTTTAGCTCAACGAGAATACAATAGTATTATCAATGCTGAAAAAAATTCAAATGTTGTAAGTTTCATGCAATTAAAATAATTTTTTATTTCACAACTGACTACTTTTTTCGATTTTATAGATGAAGTTTTGGAATATACATCGAATTCAATTGAAGCGTTTATATAAATATGCTGCTTATCATATTGCTAGTCCAGCAACTTCTGTTGCATCCGAAAGGGCTTTTAGCACAGCTTCATATTGTGAAACACGATCTGAAAGGAGTGTTGAAGTGTTTAGGGGCAGAAATTTTCAACGACCCCCCCCCCCCAAGG